ACACTAATCCAACAAGAAGTTGGTAATTGTTTGCTGTTCGAGTTGAAAAGTGATAACAGTCTGGATTGAAAGTTACTCATCATAGTAAAGTTGCCAATATATATATATATATATATTATTCACATTATCTACATTAATCTATAGTCATGATGAGATAATCCCCAATGAATTATACAGCTTTTATGGCTTTTCAGTAGTGTACACAATTCTATCGAATTTTTATTCATCAGAGTTGTATAGAAATGAACGATAACTGTTATTAAGTGCATATGAGTAGCTTGAAATCACTCACGCCGATTTCACTAACCAGATTAGAGTGATCTAAACACCAAACAGTCATTTCCTTTACTTGGAGTTCATCTCAACAATCGTGTATTGGGACGTTCTGTGTTGCCAAGTTTAGCAACTTGAATCGATCCAGGAGGATATCAAACATTCTAAGGAGAACATTGTTTGCATCAACGCTGAGACTAGTATTCTCTTGTCGCCCAACAATTTCGCATCTGACCACTTCTATGTGTGTATTATCAATTCACGTGATCTTGTGGAGCCAGGTGTATACGTCGTTCGATGCGACTGTTATCCAGAAGGGTTGAAGAACACTCTCCCACTTGGTTACAAAGAGGTAACAATGAAGCGATAAGTGATAACTGAACACATCTTGAACACAAATCATGCTATCTCAAAGACCTCCTAGTTTAAGTTCATCTATAAAGTGAATCGAAACCTTCCACAGGCTATATGTCTTCGTAGTCTCTGCATCGCCAAAGCTATTACCGTCCATATGGACAAACCAGAACTGTGTACACAAAAGAAGATTGTTCAACCCCTCCTCCTTTCGTGGTCTTAGTTTTCAGTCTCCTCTAACCCCCTTCACCTTTTCTCAGCATTTTTTTGTTTTGACACTATTCACTTCTTAGGTAATTTGCTACTCATTCTTGTTGCTATACTCTGCCTGATCACAACTCACTTTTTAGTTATGTCGTCATGTTAAGAAACTTCTCATCCAAACTTATTTTGATTAGTATTCACTACTCATCACAGTCATGTTTTTGTTTTTTAATTTTTGTGTTGCCAGCCCTGCTTGAAAAATCGTTTCTAACTATCAAATCCTAAGTGTTATTGCTTGTATTACACCTTCGTTGGTTGGACCGAATTCATCAATCTCTGTTGGCATATGGGCTCCTGTTCGGATGCCTCGATATTGCCTGTCTTTTAACTATGTTTAGTAATGATGGGAAGTGGCTAGCAGTGGAACGAAGGATGCGCATTTCCTCCTATTTGGGACTCACTGGTCAGCTGGATGTATCTGTTTCCCAGTGAGTGATGTACCTGGGAAGCAGATACATCCAGCTGACGAGTCACAAATAAGACGAAATGCGCATCCTGGATTCCACTGTTAGCCACTGCCCATCATTATCAAATCCTTACGTTAGAAAAATATACAATTTTGTGCATTTTTGAAATGAATGGAGATTTGTAATTTAGAATTAGTATTCATCATGGACTGACATCAGTTTGGGAACCATTGGAAATAATAGGAACACTGGACACCAGTTTCGTCCTAGTATGCGACTCCTCAGCAGTACGCACCCATGACCCGGCTGGGGGTCGAACTCAGGACCTTCGAGTTTCACAGCGATCGCGTTAATCATTCAGCCACTGGGTTGGTTTCCAGTGGTTCACAATTTCCAACTTCTGTCAATTCACGATATAGCTTGGCTTTCCAACAAGATCTTCAGTTGGCATGCGCTCCCCTTCCAACTGGTTGACCCCACAGGTCACGGCTTCTCATTAGAACTTCCTGATATCCATCTGGATATCCTCATTCACCTCAAAAATACATTACTGCACAGTGCTCATTAGTGAGTTTTGTGCGTTCTGAAAGGTTTTTTGTCTTCACTGATCAGGAGGGATATCGTTTCCTTGACCAACTGAGGTCCTATGGATGTGTATAGTGCTGTGACATTGAAGGATATTATTAACTCATCTTTTTCTACGTTAATACTTTTGATCTTTTCTAAGATTCATTTGTGTTTTAGTCAGTTGGTATCAAAGCGGAAAAACGAAAAATTTATGTTTACAAGAAGTCAAAACATACAGATCAAATTTTACAGACAACAACTCGACAACACACACAAGTTTCTTACTGACTTTATTGAAAAAAAGGAAGCACACATTGTAGTACAACAACAACTTCATAGAGAAACGAAGTAAATCATATTGGTTATTGGCTTAAATAAGAATGACTAGTCACACAGCTTGATCAGAAGATGCTTAACCAATCAATAACTGAGTGAGAAGTAATCCATAGCAATTTTTAGACTGATCATTCAAACACTGATGATCAAGAACACATAAAGGATGATGACAAGATTACTGTGAACATTTTGAATCAAGGTAGCTCATAAAAAGGCAGATTCTCTTTAAACCATATTATACAGACTAAGGGATTCAACTATTTGTTGATATACTTGTAAATCTTCGTTGTTATATTGGATTGAATTGTTCTACTTCTGTTAGCATATTAGCTCCTATGTAGATGCCTCGACATTACCTGAGTATTTATTATGGCAATTTACTTGATTGAAGCGATGGATACAAGGTTCGAGTCCCAGTGAAAACAACATAACTCGGCACTGGGGTGCAGTTACATCCAGATGATAAGTCCTATATAGGACGAAACACGCATCTTGGATTTCTTTGCTAGCCACAACCAGCTAAACTATCATAAGGGATCCAAAAAGTAAGGAAACTAAACCAAATATCATCTACCGAATGAACTGAAACACCTGAATTCATGTGGATCCCTATAGACACAAATATGATTCACGAAATTAAAAAGAATACAATAGACTTTTCAACAGCTTGGTGTTCCCGTCAATTAGCACATCCAACTATCTAGACATAAACCCAGTCTGTGAGCTTATAAGGAAAATGCTGAAGAGGGTTAAGGTCAGAGGTTTGGCAGAGAAATGACCGGTAGCACATTGATTAGTTACTGGAGGGTAACCCACTTCACATAGTCTGGTCCTAAGAGCTTTTAGAGTCCAACAGATCATTGCGCGATGCCGCCGCCAGGCTAGGAGGCTCATCGTCGGGATGCACTAAGGTAGATGCTAGTTGGATGGAGGTAATCAGTGGGTTTCGTGCTGTATAGCACTCGTCAACACGGCGTATCTGGAACCTCTACAGAACTGTTGTCCCACTTGAGATTCAAACCTGGGTGACACAGTGCTGCATTCGGAGATGTTACCGCTGAGCTAGTCAGGCTGCAATGGTAGGCCCATTAGGCTGGTGGCCACACTGTGAACTGATCGGTAGAATTCGATCAGAATGTAGCACTAAAAAATCGGAAGCTGATTACTCTCCAGTAATTAGTCAGTGCACCTAACCCAATCCTATAGGAGGTTGCTAACAGACCAAATAGTTTAGGGGTAACATCTCTAACTGTAGATACACTTTGTTGATGAATGTCTGAACATGATAATTAAGTCCAGGGCTTTCTGTCGATTACCTCCACCTGAACAACAAAGGCCAACAGTAAGGTCTGTCCAGTCAGTGACACAACGATCAAAGGTAAGTAATAATCATACGCCAATTCATCTGAGCGCTTAACTAAACCACTCACAGAAAAATTATGATCACTCACATCATATTGAAGTTAGTGCTGATGATGTTTAATAAGTCAATGAAACGTCTACAAAAAAATCTACTTCAGAGAACGTAATACAACCACTGTCAACCAAAACCTTAAAATTGACTCGTGGTCTAGAAACCATCACTGTAAAGCTTAAATATCATCATCATTTACCATTATCTTTGAATGTCTCAATTTTCTAGATACAGCTGTACAGTTTATATGCAGATCAGAGGACATTTTTTTTCACTTCGGTAAATTATGATTGAATTTTATGGCCAAAATGGCATATTTCCAAACAGATTAACAGTAATTATTATATTTGTGCGCTGAAGAAATGTAATGATTCAAAAGGCCTATTGAGTAATGTAGTGATTTTCGGTGCCAACATTACTAGATTAAAGGTCTTGATCGAATCATTTACGCGAACGTTTATATATCCATCTGACAAGTCCTACAGATTAACAAGCGGACAGAATAACTCAACATAAAACCTTGTATAGAATGCAACAGGTTTGAGTTGCCACACTTCACGATAGCATATGAAGAACAAATTGATAGAAAAAAGACATATCAAAGTAGACAAAGTTGTGTGAGAGAGTAAACAGTTTGAATACTCAAGCTAGTGAAGACGTCAAACAATGAAAACATCTGCGCCACTGTGACCGATATTCTACCATGTCATAAAGAAACCTCTGCCAATGATCCCTATCGCTTTGGGGAACCCGACCAGGTAGTATACACCTTCCTACATGGATCAGACCAATAGTCAATGACTACATGGACTAGTGTCACGTTTTAGTCTGGCCATCCTGAACCGTCTCTCAACCTAATCCAGCTCCCACCATCAGAAACTCATCGACCAACTTCTTTTTATTGCCTAGTGATCTTTGCCTTACCTCAACATCACTAGCGTGATTATTCCACTACATGTGAGCAATGATACGAAGACACCTATGGTCAAAGAACTGCTACCATTTCATGTCTTCTACCTTAAGCAACTGTTTTGTAAAAAATAATGAAAAGCAGCTCAGTATGCTCTTTCTTTGATAGATATTTGGATATGTCGTTAGTCAAAGCCATAGATGACGCATATTAGCAAATGCCAATCTGAGATTTCCTCGAAAACTAGTCGAACAAAATCCACACCGTGTATTTCCTTCTACATCAACAGCAAGTGTATGGAATAAAGTAGGCCAACTCATCGGCTCAGTCTCAGCTATGACTTTATGAGATACAATGGTGTTGAAGAATCCTTTTAGTTAATTCCAGTTTAGCGCGATGTGAAAAGGATAATTGAACATTAAACATAAGAAAACTTTTAAAATTGAAAAAAGTGACAAAAGTGTCTATCACTTACATTATGTTTTGTTGAGAAGTAAACAATCAGTATTATGATATGTGATAATATAACAATGAAAATGACACCCATATACTGTAACAAATAGAAAAATGGAGTAGACTATTATAACTCATTTTCAAACAATGGGGTAACAAGTGTTTGTATACCGTAAACATAATTCAGTAAAAACTTACAGTCAGTATTGAATATGATGCCTGGACTGACATTAGTACATAAAGGTTCTCATTCATGTTTCTTCTTGATGTCTAATGTAAGAAATCATACCAACAACCTAGTAGCTTCTAACGCTATATAACAGTTCACCTTGATATTACATCTATTAGATTAGTAGCGATATTGTTAGCCGGAGTGATGTACAGCACAAAGTGTAGGACCAGATAGATATATTGGTTTATTATTATTGTTCGTCCTTTGGATTCCTAGTGGAACATACGGCTTCACTAACACGCTCCCATTGCACTCTCTCTTCCTCTGCAGTACTTTCAACCTAACGCCACGACTGCCAACAAGCTTTCATCTCTTCCTCATACCATCTCCTCCACGTCACCCTCAGCTGCGACGCCCAACTAGTCGTTTCCCATTTCTATTCCACTCGACAGCCTGTTCTGACATGTGATGTCCTCAATCGGTCTTATCAGTGTATGCCCAATACAATTCATCTCCACTCTCTTCTTCTACATATTTGTTGGGTGATAGGTTCTTGATTGGTTCGTTGGTTCGTTGGCAGGTCAGAGTTCCTTCTTGCTTATTCTGATTATTCTGGCCATCTCATCTGATCATCAGTGTGGAGTGAGCGTTGATAGTCAGCTGTAGATGATGTATGTCTGTAGTTTGTTGGAAGTGCTTTTTGTGATACGCCAAGTCTGTCAACCATCACATAGAAGCCCTGACTCACTTGACTGACATCAGTAGTGTTGAAAATCCGGATGTTGTTCACGCTTTATGCTGAGTGCGGTGCAGTGCAGTGCAGTAGATCGCTACACTGATTTCAGATTAATGAAGGAAAGTATATCTCGCTGTATTTCCTATCGTGGCTGGCTTTGACATCGTCATCTGTACCTGTGCTGACATCTGTATTTGAAACGATGCTGTCTCCAAGGTAGGTAGGTAGTTAGTTGGTGGGTAGGTAGGTGTGGGGTGGTAGGTAGGTGTGGGGTGGTAGGTAGGTAGGTAGGTAGGTAGGTAGGTAGGTAGGTAGGTAGGTAGGTAGGTAGGTAGGTAGGTAGGTAGGTAGGTAGGTAGGTAGGTAGGTAGGTAGGTAGGTAGGTAGGTAGGTAGGTAGGTAGGTAGGTAGGTAGGTAGGTAGGTAGGTAGGTAGGTAGGTAGGTAGGTAGGTAGGTAGGTAGGTAGGTAGGTAGTTGAGAGATACTACTTCCTTTAGGTTTCTCCCGTTAATGGTGATTGTTGGTTGTTGTTGTCGTTGTTGGCCAGGTATCTTCATCACCTCTGTCTTCTCTACATTCACTTGAAGTCCCATCTTTGCTGCCTAACCTCTTCTACCAACTTATTAGTTTTTGTCTAAAGATCTTTGTGTTTGTGCGACATAAGACATAAATCATATTTGGTGAAATCTGAACCTTTCAGGGTCTTTTCATCGGTCCAGCCAGGGTATGCCCATCTTCTTACTCCTCACACTTTGCTGCTTGATCCAGTCCACCACAATCAGGAAGATGATCGGTGATAGTAGATGGCAGCCTTGTTTCACTCCTGTCTTTACTTCACTTCAAAGGCGTCACTGAACTTTCCATTGTGGATCACTTGGCGTGTAGCATCGTTTAGCATATAGCTGCTGAATGAGGTTGATAAAGATTTGTGACAGTCCGTAATTAGTGTTGAAGCAACTGCCAAATTACTACTGGGTCGACACTGTCGAAGGCCTTTTAAAAATCGATGAAGTTGAGGTAGAGATTTAACTGTCATTCTATACTCTGTTCTATGATGATGCGTAGCGTTGCATTGCAATTTGATCCGCACATGATTTGTTCTTCCTGAAGCCAGCCGGCCAGCCTATTCCTGTCGTAATTTTGAATCCAGAGCGTTTTTCAGTCTCTCCAGGATGATGTGGCCTAATATTTTGCTTGGGATGGACAGGAACATGATTCCAGTTCTTGCAAAGGCTTAGGTCTGCCTCCTTTGAGAGTTTGACAAGGTAGCCATTCTTCCAATCAATTGCAGGTACCTTTCCTTCCTTTCAGACGTTCTCAAATAGTGGTGTGGTATGGGCATGTCCGCTGATGTCTCTGCGCCTATTTTCAGTGTTTCTGGTGAAATCTCATCTGGTCCTACTGCTTTCTGAAATTTCAACAACTTTATGGCATTCACGACTTCTGCTTTTGTCGGAGGGTATGTGTTCACTGGTAGTTCTATGTCTGCATGTAGTATTTCTGGACGAGTTGCAGGTGGTGGTCGATCCAAGAGTTTTTCGAAGTGGTCAGCCCATTACTTCCTTGTTCTTCCTCTTTGGTAACTAGGTTTCCTTCATTATCTTTCATTGGTTTCATCTGAGTTGATCTCTTCCAAGAATTATTTCCGATAGGCAGGGCTGATAAAAATGTTTTTTTAGAAATACCAGATAAAAATAGCTGAATTTGCGATGAAATCATGAGTTGTTGAGCTTTCTGTTATTTGGTCGCCTACAGAATGAGCTATAGACTTGAGTAACTTACCACATCTCTTATGGTAATTTGTTTGGTTGTTGTTAGCAGAGGAATCGAGGATGTGCTTTTGTGAGAGATTTTGTTCCCACCGAAACTAGAACCTCGATCCCTTCGCTTCAAACCCTAAAGCATTTTCCAGTGTGCTACAGAAGCACGCTAACCACTTCTTGTACAACGGACATTAGTTATTACTACTTATTTATATATTTATAATTCTCCGTTGTTCTATCGGATCGGATTATTCGAGCTTGACATCGGGAACAGAGGTTGAACAATTCGATCCAATAAAACAACGGAGAATTACAAGTATATCAATAAATAGTAATTATCAGATCTCTGTTTCGCTAAAATCACCAAGCTTAGTCTACTTAGACATCTTTTTCTGCCACTTAGTTTAGTCTCAAACTATACAGTGTCTTCTTGTTAGATTCTCAAATTTATTGGTTTTAGTGTAGATAGTATTTAAAACAATAATCCCTTGTACTTACAATTTTTAGACAAAGTGAACTTTTACAGCATGTTCCAATGATACCTGCACCACATATTAGTAGTATGATCAAACCAATAACGAATATTAATACACTGTATTTACCTGTAGATTAACAAGGAAACAATTCATTTGTAAGTAAAAATCGATTATTACTTTATGTAAATAAGGAGACAGATAAAAAAACATCGTCATAGAACCTCGCACACAGCTGGATCACCTCAAGTTGTCACACTTCACAACTGATACCAAAGTAAACAAAAATGCTTTAGAGAATACAACATAGACCGACAAAAAGTTCGGGACTCCATCGATTGGTACTACATTTTGGTGTTGCCACGCTGAACTCAATTCTTGCCTAATTCAAATTTCCCTAGCATGGCATTGGATGTTGAGGTAGGTGGTGACTTGACATGCACAGTACGTGTCTAAACCATCTCATGAATTAACTTACCTGTCTTGTCTAGTACTCTTCATATGACCATATTATTACTCACACCGTGATTCTACCAAATGTGAGCAATACTATGAGGACATCTGTGATCAAAACACTATAGTCGCTTTTAATCTTCTACTTTCAACAGAACGGACTACGGGACAGTGTACTCATCCTTTAATGGTAGGTGGTATTTGGACGTCTAATTATTGATTCCATGTGTTTTCTTGTCATACACTTTCAGTGTTTATCACTAAGCCAGTACAGTACATTTCACTGGGCTTTGAACTGTTCGACATAGTGGGTAGAAACTTCTGTCCAATCTAAACTTTTTACATGGTAAAACAGATTTATATTGATCTTGGTGACTAGCAGAGGAACCCAGGACTCGCGTTTCGTCTTATTTGGGACTCGTTAGCTGGATGCAGCTGCACCTCAGTGTCTCCTACCAAACCTCCTACCCAGTAACCTTCGCTTCAAATGCCAAACGCGTTATCCACTAAACCACTGGGTTATGACAGCCATCTCTTGTGCAACGGGTGTCAGTTGTTGTAATGATACTTGTAATTTCTCATTTCAAAACAGGGTCAAATTGCTCGACCTCTGTGGTGACTATCGTGCCGCAGTGGCAAAGTGGATAATGCGTTTGGCATTTAAAGCGAAGGGTACTGGGTTGGAGGTTCGGTGGGAACATTACACACTACGGTGTAGGTATATCCAGCTGACCGATGAGTCCCAAACACGACGAAATCCTCATCCTAGATTCCTCTGCTAGTCACCAAGATCAATATAACATCATGAATATTCAGCAGCATCGAGGCATTCGCATAGAAGCCCATTTGCCAACAGAGGTCGAGTAATTCGACTCGATTTAGTAACGGGGGAATTACAAGCAGTAGTTCAAACAGTCGCTGGTAGGATGTTTCAACCTAGATTTTCATGCTTGTCATTAATAGTCAGCAAAATTTATTCCTATCTGAAAGGGTTGATAATTACTCAAGCATTTGAAGTTATTCATTTCAGTGCTGTAGTCACAGATGTTATCACTGGGATTTTTAAAGCATGGTTTAGTGGTATTCAATGCCTACTACCACCTGTGATCTTCCTGATTGTGGTCGATTTGACTGGATTGCATCATGCAAGAAACAACTGTGAAGAGCGAGAAGAGGGGCATACGCTGATTCACTGATCAAAAGACACCAGAAGAAGATTTGGATTTCGCAAATGATGATGTATGTTTATTCCCTTTTGCTGCACAAACTCAAAGATCTACAGATGAAAAGTAGCAAATTGGCAGAAGAGGCGAGGCGAGACAGGGCAGCCAATGAAGATAGGACTTCTTTCAGGTGGACGTAGAAAAGACAGTGTTGATGAAGATACCCAACCACCACCTCTATACCAACAACAACCAATCACCATTAACGGAGGAAACCTGAAGAAAGTAATCTGTTTCACCTACCTACCTACCTTGGAGACAGCATCGTTTTAGCTACAGGTGGCAGCACAGGTACAGATGAGGATATCAAAGCCAACGAGGACCAGAAATGCAGCAAGACAGGCCTTCCTTCATTAATCTGAAATCAGTGTGGAGATCTACTGAACTCAGCACAAAGAACAAGATTCCAACTTTCAACACCATTTCATTCAAGTCGGTGCTGCTGTATGTTTCAGAAACTTGGCGTGTCACAAAAAGCACTTCCAACAAACTACAGACATACATCATCTACAGCTGACTATCAACGCTCACTCCACACTGATGATCAGATGAGATGGCCAGAATAATCAGAATAAGCAAGAAGGAACTCTGACCTGCCAACGAACCAACGAACCAATCAAGAACCTATCACCCAACAAATATGTAGAAGAAGAGAGTGGAGATGAATTGTATTGGGCATACACTGATAAGACCGATTGAGGACATCACATGTCAGAACAGGCTGTCGAGTGGAATAGAAATGGGAAACGACTAGTTGGGCGTCGCAGCTGAGGGTGACGTGGAGGAGATGGTATGAGGAAGAGATGAAAGCTTGTTGGCAGTCGTGGCGTTAGGTTGAAAGTACTGCAGAGGAAGAGAGAGTGCAATGGGAGCGTGTTAGTGAAACCGTATGCTTCACTATGAACCCAAGGAAAAAATAGTAATAATAATGAGTAATATTACTGTTAATTGACTGTAATGAATTCATCATTCGAAAAGTGCTGTAAATGAACATTTTCGAAAGAAAATTTTAAGCTGAACTGTCTTGAGTAAGTAAGCCTGCGTATATTTTCGCTTAGATTGCTAGAAAACAGTCTGGATACCCATTAATTTGTCTCGGTCATTTCAGTCTACTTGATGAAATACTATTATTATTATTAGTCCCTTGGGTTCCTAGTGGGAAATAGGGCTTCAGTAGCACGTCTCCAGTGACCTCTGTTCTCTGAGATCTTTTAAACCTGGTTCCATGACAGCCCACAACCTCTCATTTCCTCCTCGCACGATCTCCTCCATGTCACCCTCGCCTCGAACGTCCAACTCGTCGCTTCCCATGGGGATTCCACTCGAGACACTGGCCTGATGCATGATGTCCCCAGTCGGCCTTCTCAGTGCATGCCCAATCCATCTCCACTTCCTTCTGCATATTTGTTGCATGATAGATTCTTGATTGGTTCGTTCCCAGAGCTCCTTGTTGGTTATTCTTTCTGGCAATCCATCTGAGCTTGAGTAACGAGCGAGCGTAGACGGCAGTTGTTGATGAATGTCTGTAGTTTATTGGAAATCCCTTTCGTGATGATGAAATACTACTGATGTGTATAAGTAGTTTAGTTATTTAACTTTTGTTCAAGAATCTGCTTATATATCTCTCTATATTCATATTCACATAAAATTATCATTTTTAAGCCAGCGGAGTTGTGGTAGGGTTGAATATTACTTACTGCTAATATTTAAGACAGCATCACCAATATTATGTGTAATCGATGATTTATTTGTTATATTGGTTTTATTAATGAATACATTCCATATATCACCGAATGTTTGTGTAGCTACACTTTTTGACCAGGCCATTAAACCACCATTTATAGTTAAAAATAATCCAATAATCTGAAAAATTGGAAAGAAAAGAAAAAGTCATGTAAATTGAACATTTAACCGATGTTAGAAAAGAAAGTAATTAAAACTGATTCAAATTATATCGGAAGTCAACTTTGAAAATCTACATCTTAATTTCCATTTCACACTAATTTATCACACTTTAACAGGCTTCGTTAGTAAAATCGAATAATTCTCAGTGTTACTGAATTTAAAATCTAACTGCATTAAGTATATTGTTGAATTTTGTAGGTTAGAGATAGTCGGTAAGAAACTGTGCTCAACTGCTCAACATTTTCTACTTGTTGGTAACAAACAAAAAATACAAGATTATAAAAAAAAGATTCAGAATGGAGAATACAGGTATTAATTGATAGGAATATTTCAGCTGTTAACTCGATGGATAGATCCCCTTTAAAATGACAGCTATTCTTTAATGAGTAAGCTGGCTGATGTCGCACAAACTTGAAGATCTACAGGCGAAAACTAACAAGTTGATAGAAGAGGTAGGGCAGCGAAGACGGCACTTCAAGTGAATGCAGAGTAGACGGAGGTGATGATGATACCCAACCAACGCCACAACCACCACCAACAACAAGCTCCAGTCATCATGAACGGGATACACTTAAATGAAGTGGTCTCTTTCATCTATTTAGGCCTCACTGTTTCAACTACAGCTGGCACAGACGAAGATGTGAAAGCCAGCCATGATTAGAAAGCCAGCAAGACAGTCATTCATTAACCTGAAACCAGTGTGGAGATCTACTGCACTCAGCACAGATAACAAGATCCGGATTTTCAACATAAACGTCAAGTCAAGTCAGTGCTTCAATGTGATGTTTGAGAGACTTGGGGCCTTACGAAAGGCGTTTCCAACAAACTACAGACATTCATCAACAACTGCTGCCGTCTACGCTTGCTTCATACTGACAATTAGATCAGATGGCCAGAATAATCAGAATAAGCAACAAGGAATCCACTCTGGGAACGGACCAACCAAGAACCTATCACCCAACAAATGTACAGAAGAGGGAAGTGTAGATGGATTGAATTGGCATACACTGAGAAGGTCGACTGGGGATATCACGCACCAGAACAGGCCATCGAGTGGAATCGAAGTGGGAAACGACTAGTTGGGCGTCCCAACTGAGGGTGACATGGAGGAGATGGTATGGGGAAGAAATGAAAGCATGAAGGCAGTCGTGGCGTCAAGTTGGAAAGACTGCAGAGAGGAGAGACAGAGTGCAATGGAGGCGTGCTACTGGAACTGTATATTCCACTAGGAACCGAAGGGAAAGATAATAACTGGCCTTAAATTGTTTTGGTGTGCTTCGTTACTTTTCCGTTTTTTCAAATCCTCTACTCTGTTCCTGTCAAATTAATCTGTATAGTCTTATATTGTCATTATCAGTATTGTGATTGTTATTTTGATATTTAATAGTTTCTGGTATTATTTCGTTGAATCTTCCTAATGATCACAACTTTTAACAAAACATTTTCAATCTATTCCAATTAACCTGTTGTCTTATTCATCATATTACCTAATCACCTTTGATTGTTTATTAACTCTATCACATTTTCACCCCTTTTTAATCTGTATGCACCATATAAACGATTTAAAAAACTTACATAACCTTTTTTATTGTCATCCTATCTTTAAGTCATGATTATAAATAACTATAGCCATCGTTATTATTATTACAACCCCCCATAAAGTTAAAATGAAAGACATTAGAAATAATTTAACTTACTCCAACCACAGCATTTACAATAAATAATATGATAGTGTAGAGGGCGGTTGCCATCTTCGATTCTATTCAAGAAGAAAAAACAATGCAAAAGACTTGTTGTTAATGGCTAGAAAATTTACGCAACAATAATAACAACAATTCATCATTCCTGCTAAACTTATAAATTGAAAAAAACTTAGATTTATTTTTGACTACTTGCAAATACAAAGTAGCATAACGAAATATAAAATAAAATGTTAGCTATTGAATTTAAAACTACTTTTTGTACTCATTCAGGCTTAGAAATTAATTATTTTCAGTTATATGAGTTGGTTTCGACATAATTTCAGTGGAATAGATCAGGCATACCCTTGTATTCCGCCTTTTTGATTTACTAGATAATTCAGGACAGTTAGTAGGACCTTTTTCTCAGCTAAACTTCACTTGATCTCTACCAGACGTAAATTGTTCTCCGTTTGTATAAAAGATAATATCCCCCTAAATGCCACATCCATGTGTATCTACCAGTTCACCTGCTCCTGTGGAGTAAGGTACATCGGCTTTGGTCAGAGACAGCTGTCAATACATATAAGAGAACATATTCCTGTCTGGTTTTATAAAGGTGAAAGGAAATGCATTAAAAGTTCTATCCTTCAACATTTTAGTCGATTCCAACTATTCAACCAATCACTGACAATAATTTCAAAGTTGTCTATCGAATTAGCTCAAACACCTTATGTTTCCTCTGTAAAAACAACAGAGGTCTGGGCGATTCATGAACTAAAACCAGGCTGACCTATATGTGCAAAAGAAGTATGTACAGTTTTTGTATCTACCTTGGCCTTAATTTATTTTGGTCTTGGTGCGTTTCATCCCTTTTTATCGCTTTTCATCCCCTTCCACATATTTGTCAGATTAATCTTTGTACTCTTATGTCGTCATTATCAGTATTATGATCACAACTTTTAACAAAACATCTTCGATTTATTCCAATTAGCCTGTTGTCTTATACATTATATTACCTAATCACCTTTCATTGTTTATTAACGTTCTCACCCCCTTTTTAATCTATATGCATATATAAAAGATTTGAAATTCTTATCTAATCCCTTTTTGTTATCATTCGACCTTTGTCATCAACTAGCAACTTTATGATTATGATTGTTTCAACCACCATTATTTCAGTTAAATCCTCCTCACGGGTTACAGTCTTTGATTATCATATATATATATATATATATATATATATATATATATATATATATATATATATATATATATATATATATATATATATGATAATCAAAGACTGTAACCCGTGAGGAGGATTTAACTGAAATAATGGTGGTTGAAACAATCATTATATATATATATATATATATATATATATATATATATATATATATATATATATATATATATATATATACGAATGTACAGCCTGAGAATAAATTGGTTGAAAGGAGTCCTCTTCGCTGAATATCTTGTCTTTGAATTCAGTGTTTGATCAGTTAGACTGTGAAAGAATAAGAAAAGCCTAATGATCGTGAGGACAGTTACTCAACGATGACATTGTGTGGCGGTTGCACTATATCGTGAGCTAATTGAAGTTGGAAATATCGACCGTTGGATTCTGACCCATTGACTAGCTCTATTGTAACGTGCTGGCCACGGAGCCTGAAGGCCGCCGGTTCGATCCCTGGTGGAGTCCAATACTAATTAGTCGGACGAAACAGCTGTCTAGTACTCTCAGGTTTCTTTTGTTCCTCTAACTGATGTCAGTCTATAATGAATAACAACATGGAATAGGAAATAGTTTGAAATATGTACACACTTAACTACAAAGACTTATTCATGACTCATAGTAAAATAAATAAAGAGATTAGTTCATGTATATATACACTGTATGGTGTAAATATAAACACGTAATAATAACTAGAAAAACACCACAGGCAAACAAAAACTCAATGATTAGAATATGTATATTGTAATAAATGTTTATTTTTCTCAAAATGTACACAAAATTTTCATTCAATAGTATTTTTATATATATTTCAGACTTTCTTTTTCTTTTTCAACTGATCAACTTCAAATTAGCTTGATGTAACAGAAAGTAAATTCACTTTGGTATTCTTGGTCTAAAATGAAAATAATTAGAGATTATCATATCTACAGCTTTTGAAGTGAAGATAGGAGTGAAACAAGGTTGCCTACTATCCCCATGATATTCCTAATTGTGGCCGACTGGACTGGATCATGCAGCAAACAGTGGGCTGCGAGAAGAGGGGAATACACTGGACTGAGGAAAAGAACCTAGAAGACTTGGATTTCGCCAGTGATGACTTGTGTCTGATGTCACATAAACTTGAAGATCTGCAGGCGAAAACTAACAAGTTGATAGAAGAGGCAGCTAAGACGGGACTTCCAGTGAATGTAGAGAAGACAGAGGTGATGAAGATACCGCACCAAAAACTCCAACAACAACAACAAACTCCAATCACCGTCAACGGGAGAAACTTAAAGGAAGTAACCTCCTTCACCTATCTAGGAAGCACTGTTTCAACTACAGGTGGCGGGACAGACGAGGATGTCAAAGCCAGCCAGGATCGGAAAAGCAAGATAGGCGTTCATTAGCCTGAAACCAGTGTGGAGATCTGCACTCAGCATGTAGAACGAGATCCGGATTTTCAACACCAACGTCAAGTCAGTGCTTCTGTTTAACTCACATACTTGACGCGTTACGAAAGGGATTTCCAATAAACTACAGACATTCATCAACAACTGCCGTCTACGCTCGTTACTGAAGCTCAGATGGCCAGAATAATCAGAATAAGCAACAAGGAGCTCTGGGAACGAACCAACCAAGAACCTATCACTCAACAAATATACACTGGAAGGAAGTGAAGATGGATTGGGCATGCACTGAGAAGGCAGACTAGGGACATCATGCATCAGGCCAGTGTCTCGAGTGGAATCCCCATGGGAAGCGACGAGTTGGACGTTCGAGGCGAGGGTGACATGGAGGAGATCGTGCGAGGAGGAAATGAGAGGTTGTGGGCTGTCGTGGAACCAGGTTTAAAAGATCTCAGAGAACAGAATTCACTGGAGACGTGTTACTGAAGCTCTATGTTCCATTAGGAACCCAGGGGACTAATAATAAATAATATAATAATGATATAGAGCATTCGATAGACATGAAAATTATAGAGAATAGACTGATATAACTTTCACTAGTAGACTGTTTAAATTTCTCATCAATGGCTGTGATCTATACTGTTATCGTTTAGTAATATTTACTGGCGAACTGTTCCCTACTGAATTGAAAGTCATCCACATTGTAGTTGAATGTAATGAGGAATTTACGTGGATAACTCTGAATATTTAATCGTCTATTGTCATTTATTAGTTCTCACTTTCCATTCGATAGTCACATTGATTGGATAGATCATAATAATAATAACAATTCCTGAATATACAGGTACACACCATTTTAACAGGTATGAATAAGTTTATGTATAAATTACATTCATCTTCATGGAAGGTAATTTCAATCCCCACACTTTGTCACTAGAAGATATATGTGCTGCATGTTCATATAATGGAACATTCTAGAAGAATAAGTATGCATAAAATTTACAAGTTGGACAAGTAGGAGTATTGTCTTTGCATTAACAAAAAAAACCAGGTTTGTATCTAAACATTAGATTGTAACAGCTTGTACTTTTTACTTGAGATAATGTTGAAAAGTTTATGAGTGAATGCATACACAAATTGCTTACTTATTGTACTTCATTGATGATTCCGGAACTGGATAATTCATGCATGTTAATACCATTCCATGAAAAACATTCATAATCTTGATGAATATTATAACTGAGAGTCAAATATTCTCTCTTTTCCAACTCCAGCAACCAGAAGCAACAGATTTGTTTGAATGCGCTAAATGGACTTTTAGGACATCTTGTCCACCATTTTCACGGGTCATGACAGCCTTACGGTTGGTAAGTGTTGGACTTTACTGCTTACTTTTATAATGAGTTAATCCTAGATTTTGATAATTATGAAGTTGTAATCTAGTGAACACTTTTTTTTTATTTCTGCCTGTTGTAGTTAGGTGCTTTGAACGCAGTAAAACTGGTTACCCTCTATAGAGGGTAGTTTCAGCCATGATCGATGACAACTAAGCCAACGTTTAGAACTGAATTACTTTTCTATAACGAGAAAAAACAAACTGACAAAGCAGCAGGCGGATAAAGCAAGAATTCTAACAAGGAGAGTGTTTTTTTATGTTCATGTTTCTCCCTACTTAACTTTCTTTGCTATGGCGTTCATTGTATGTGCTTTTTCTATAGAGTACTTAAAAATATCTATTCCACAAAGTGTACCATGACTAGACAATAAGGTTTATAATGAATCTTTACAGTTTCATATGATTTAGTCACACATGTTATGCACACCAGCTAACAGTCTAAGGTGACATACAGAGTTATTCGAAGAAAGATTAAATTTCACCTATTCACTGTTTTTGTAAACTTCCTCTTTCTATGCAGGAGTTAGATATATCAGTTTGACATTTATGCATCTCTAAACAAGGTTCCACATTTATCTTCTTAACTTCATATCCCACTGTTCAGCTATCTAACTCAATGATTCCTTATTGAATGCCATTTTCTGATGAAAACTATTTCTAAATCATTGATTCTATGAAAATTTATAAGTTTTATCCTTCATCTTTTTCAAATCATCAGAAGATATTCACCGTATGACTTCAGTAGAAAGATATACTTTGATAGAAATAAAATTCTGTAAATGTCTGCTCAGTTTAAACCTACAGTAACAATAAAACAAGATATTATCGAATCATATCGAACTGGAAATATAAGATTTTCATTACTAAAGCTCTCAAAAATGATAGCAGTAATATGAGATAGAACAATGAATAGTGTAATTATTTGAACATAATCTTTGATTCCTTTTAGAAACACTGATAGGTATAAAAAAAATATGAGCTGCCAGCTCAGTCTCAGCGGTCAATAACAAAGTCCATAATAATATATCTTACTCACTATATGAGGTGTATTCTTACTTGTGTATTCATGGCGTAGTATATTAAAACAAAGTACAAAATGAGCAGAAATTTTGTATTATTCTTCAATGTTTCAATTTTGTTAATAAGATCCTTTTCAAGAGTATGAATCTGACGATAGATTTTCACATCAATATTCAAGTTTCGATAAAGAGACGGATTGACCTTTATGATCATAAAATTACATCATAATATGGAACAAAGATCAAAGTGATCAGAGTGAATTAGAAAATCAAGCAGAGAAACTTTTTTTCAGTTGTGCAAGTAAGACGAAACAAAAATAGGGTGGGGAAATTTAGTTCAACTATGAAAAATACGATAGGGTTGTGAATCGTCAGGTGTGAGAACGATTGAAGTGAAGACAGGAGTAAAACAAGGCTACCTACTATCACGCATCATCTACCTGATTGCGGTGGACTGCATCATGCAACAAACAGTGAGAAGCGAGAAGAGGGGGATACATGGGACCAGGGAAAAGAACCTAGTAGATTTGGATTTCCCTCAATGACTTCAGTTTAATGTCACAAAAACTCGAAGATCTACAGGCGAAAACTAACAAGTTGATAGAAGAGGTAGGGCAGCGAAGATGGCACTTCAAGTGAACGTAGAGAAGACGGAGGTGATGATGATACCCAACCAACGCCACAACCACCAACAACCACAAGCTTTAACACTATGAACGAGGGAAACTTAAATGAAGTAGTCTCTTTCACCTATCTAGGTAGCATCGTTTCAACTACAGGTGGCACTGACGAGGATGTCAAAGTCAGAATCGGAAAAGCAAGACCAGCAATCATCAACCTGAAACCAGTGTGGAGATCTACTGCACTCAGCATAGATCCCGAACAACATCCGGATTTTCAACACCAATGTCAAGTAAGTCAGTGCTTCTATGTGGTAGTTGAGAAACTTGGAGCATCACGAAAAGCACTTCCAACAAACTACAGACATTCATCAACAACTGCCTACGCTGGCTCGATACTGAAGATCAGATGGCCAGAATATTGAAAATAAGCAAGGAGGAACTCTTGCAACGAGCCAACCAAGAACCTATCGCTCAAAAAATATGCAGAAAAGGGAAGTGTATATGGATTGAATTGGCATACACTGAGAAGACCATTTGGGGACGTCACTCGCCAGGCCAGGTTGTCGAGTGAAACCCATATGGGAAACGACGAGTTGGGCGTCCGAGGCGAGAGTGACATGGAGGAGATTGTGTGAGGAAGAAATGAGAGCTTGTGGGCTATCGTGTAGACAGGTTGAAAAGATTGCAGAGAAGAGAGTGGAATGGAGATGTGCTATTGAAGCCGTATATTTCACTATGAACCCAAGGGACAAATTATGATACTAATAAATTTGAAAAGATGAATATTTGAGCATCAAACAATACATAATAAATAATAATAATGATAATAATAGTTATAAAGATAAAGGTACCTTTGATAACAGTTGGAGTATGAATGAGACACAATAACCCTATTGTAATTTTGTTATTTAGGATATCTGTTACGTATGCTTAACCACCGTCACAAAATATTGGCTGAAGTAGGTTCACGCTGTAAAAAGCCTCGGGACTGCCAGACTAAAACGTGACATCAATACATGAAGTTCTTGACTATTCTTTTCATCTATGTAAGGCGGATTCAGACTAGCTGGCTGAAGTCTGTGAGGCAAAAAACACCGGTGGTTGGAGACTCTAGTTGATATCAGAGGTGCAGATAGATACACACTACTTGATCTCATCATTCCACATTCCTCCTTCTTCCCTCCTACTACTTTCTACCTCTTTTGACCATGATATCAAGTGAGGTGTGGTAACTTGAACCATTACGCAGTAATGTCTGATCATATGTTGATCTTGAGGATGATGATGATGAGTGAAATGTCTAAAAAATACTAATGAATTCACTCATATTAATACTAATAGATAAATACTCAGTAGCTAGATAACTAAAACGTTGATTTCACTTACTGACTAACTCCTGAAGGCTTATTACGTGATTATTTAATTTTTCATCTTGTATTGGCTACAATCTAATTACCTGATTGATTGATTCATTTCTCATCACATGACTGACTCGTCATTTAAAAATTTTAGACAGAAATAACTTGAAACAAAGTGACTTATTTTTCAGTTCAGTAAAATGATTTAAGTAGTATGATACAGTTATGCAATACGAAAATTCTCATTTAGACACTCAGAAAACAGTGTGAGCAAAGAAATATTTCTTTTCAATTATCTCCTGACCGATGACTCTACTTTAAGATATTATTATTCATTATTTTTCCCTTCGGTTTCTAGTGGAATATACAGTTCCAGTAGCACGCCTCCATTGCACTCTGTCTCTCCTCTCTGCAGTCTTTCCAACTTGACGCCACGACTGCCTTCATGCTTTCATTTCTTCCCCATACCATCTCCTCCATGTCACCCTCAGTTGGGACGCCCAACTAGTCGTTTCCCACTTCGATTCCACTCGATGGCCTGTTTTAGTGCTTGATGTCCCCAATCGATCTTCTCAGTGTATGCCAATTCAATCCATCTACACTTCCCTCTTCTGTACATTTGTTGGGTGATAGGTTCTTGGTTGGTCCGTTCCCAGAGTGGATTCCTTGTTGCTTATTCTGATTATTCTGGCCATCTGATCTAATTGTCAGTATGAAGCAAGCGTAGACGGCAGCAGTTGTTGATGAATGTCTGTAGTTTGTTGGAAACGCCTTTCGTAAGGCCCCAAGTCTCTCAAACATCACATTGAAGCACTGACTTGACTTGACGTTTATGTTGAAAATCCGGATCTTGTTATCTGTGCTGAGTGCAGTAGATCTCCACACTGATCTTAGAATAGTGAAAGCCAGTCTTGCTGTCTTTCGGATCCTGGCTGGTTTTGACATCGTCATCTGTGCCTGTGCCGCCACCTGTAGTTGAAACGATGCTGTATCCTAGGTAGGTAGGTGAGAGAGACTACTTCCTTTAGGTTTCTCCCGTTAATGGTGTTTGGTGCTTGTTGTTGATGCTGTTGTTGGTTGGGTATCATCATCACTTCTATCTTCTCTATATTCACTTGAAATCCCATTTTCGCTGCCCTACCTGTTCTACCAAGTCGCAAGTTTTCGCCTGTAGATCTTTGAGTTTGTGCAACATCTGACATTAGAGATAAATTCTTTCTCGTTCAATGCTGTCGAAGACCTTTTAAAAGTCGATAAAGTTGAGGTTGAGTTAACTACCATTCTATACTTTGTTCTATGATGATGAGTACAGTAGCGTTGTAATTTGATCTGCATATGATTTGTTCCTCCTTAAGCCAACCTTTTCTGGTCGTAATTTTGAATCCAGCGCTTTTTTTAGTCACTCTACACTAAGATATAGTATCCTAATAATATAAAATTACATATCAGTCTAGTGATGATAATTGTTTCATAATAGGTAACTAGTCTCAACCTATTAAGGGGATTACAATTAATCAATAATTAAACTTCTGCACACACTTACCAGTTCAGTTGCTCCTGTAGAGAAAGTTACATTGAGCGTAGAGTAAGGCAATTTCATTGTCGAATCACCAAACTTCATCCGTTATTGATTGAGTATAGGGCAAACAAAATCTGAAATGGTGAGGAATATCTATAGCTCATATGAATGGTCTTGCTCGTATTGTGCTCTCTGAGCTGGGTTGTTTAATCGTAGAGAAGCTTTCATCGTCTTTCTAGACAACTTCAATATGCAGTCAGCTGTCACTATCGCTCCGTGAGTGATTTAGTAGCTTGTCCTGACCAACTGGTTGGTGATTGATTGTCTCCTTTGATTGTTGTATCATTGACTGACTTTGTCGATTTTCCTGTTGGCTGTTCCTCTGCTTCACCTCTGACCTTCCTGTCGTTCATCACTTTTCTCATTGGTTGATGGATTGGGTCTATGTCAATACATCTGTGGATTGCTGACTGACTGACTGACTGACTGACTGATCTGAATGACAAGCTTCTTGGAATTCTCCGTTGATATTCTTTGTATTTCCTCTCTCCATCCAAAATTTCTACATTGTCGAAACTGAATTCATGTCCATAGTTGTTATGCACGTGCACTGAGCGATGAGTGGTGAAATGTCGTGTGTGACGTTTAATAGCCAATTGGTATTCACATAGGCCAGGCCGAAGCAATGATGCAGAAACTGAATCCATCATTCTACCTGTGATCAGATCAAAAATTTGGATTCACTATGTAGACAACACTTTTGTCATCATTAAAAACATGATATAGAAAACACTCACAGTTTGATCAACAAGGTTTTCAATGACATCAAATTAACAATGGAGAAAAAGTCAAACAACCATCTACCATTCATTGGATGTTTTAGTCAGTAAGACAAATATCGGAAAGCTGGGAACCCAAGTGTACAGGAAGCCAACACACACTGACCAAATCCTCAACTACAATAGCAACAACCCAACGACACACAAAATTAGTTGCGTGCAGACTCTATTCAAAAGAGCAAGAACACACTGAAGCACAACAACTTCATGGAGAAACAAAGGAGATTACTTGATGTCCACACCCTAAAGAAGAACGGCTACCCAACAAACTTTGTCACAAGATGCCTATCCCGTACAACATCAACTACAAAGTCATCGACAGAAATTAATAAACACATCATCCTACCATACATAAAGAATATATCACAGATCACGATAAGATTACTGAGACCACTTGGAATTGGTGTGGCCACTCATTAACCAACAAATTCCCAACAAACACTATTATCCAGATTAGAGGATGCAACAAGCAAAGAAGACAAACCCAACATCATTTACAAAATCAACTACAATCACTGTAGTCAACACTACACTGGACAAAGTGGCCACCCTCTTCGCCTTCGTCTACATGAGCACCAATTGGCTATTAAACGTCACACATGACATTTCATCACTCATCACTCAGTGCACGTGCATAACAACTATGGATATGAATTCAGTTTCGACAATGTAGAAATTTTGGACGGGGAGAGGAAACACAAAGAATATCAACAGAGAATTCCAAGAAGCTTGTCATTCAGATCAGTCAGTCAGTCAGTCAGTCAGTCAGCAATCCACAGATGTATTGACATAGACCCAATCCATCAACCAATGAGAAAAGTGATGAACGACAGGAAGGTCAGAGGTGAAGCAGAGGAACAGCCAACAGGAAAATCGACAAAGTCAGTCAATGATACAACAATCAAAGGAGACAATCAATCACCAACCAGTTGGTCAGGACAAGCTACTAAATCACTCACGGAGCGATAGTGACAGCTGACTGCATATTGAAGTTGTCTAGAAAGACGATGAAAGCTTCTCTACGATTAAACAATCCAGCTCAGAGAGCACAATACAATCAAGGCAAACAAGATCTGTACGGAGCTCAATACTTTCTCATCACTTTGCCACTAGTCACTGAATTAATATTCATAACATCTTTAAGGTTAGTCACCGCATTCCCTGTGATCTCAGCCATGCTCCATGAGTTCGTCTTTTATGTACAGAAGAAGAAGTTATCCGAATCCAGTAGAACAATTCCAGTCTGTGTGTTGGGAAGAAATTTGTACGCAGCCTTTCTGTGCCTTGGCTGTTAGTATAGCTTTTCTGTAAAAAACGTCACCCTCCAATTGATTCATCCCATAAACGTTCACAACCATTATTATTATTATTGTAGTCTAAGGTATTTTACTTCTCCCTTACTTGTCTCTTATCACCTTCAACAACTGACCACTTGACATTATAATTCATTTTCTATTCTCTTCATTTTAGTCGTTATTACACAAACTATCAATTAGGTAACAACCTGTTTAAGATTTTACAGATTTTACCATACAAAGAAGGTGAATTGAGTGCTGAATTATAATGAAAATTAGTAGAAAGAAAATAATACGACATCGAACTTGGTTTTCGAAGTGGAATTCACCACAGGAGATTTAATAACATGATGACAAATTGCTTTTGAACAAACAACGGTGGGCTAAAATGCCTAATAGCTAAGGCCTCAACAAATGTTAAGGTCACTTCCCAACACGTTTTATAAATAGGTGTAAAGGAAGTAGCCATGTCAATCAAGTGACTTATCTCGATGATACGTTTCGTGATGGAAGGACTTGGAAGTCTACTACCAACGTTTATGAGTTCAGGTGATTCAATTTACTTCTGAAACTAATTTGGAATATGCTCCAAGACCCTTACTTGCATGGATCTATGAATCCTCCTCATGTATGTGTCACCACATGTACATTTGAATTGGTCGACGCAATGGGATGTGACATTGTTGTTCATATGCTGTAGGGGTTTGAGAGAATATATGGGGTTGGTGGTTTCTATCAATCAAACTCTAGCTGCCCTGTAATTCCTTCTTTGGGAGAAGAAAGAGGAACATTGATTGAAATGCTGTTGGAAATGTATTGGTTGCTGAATTACGTTTCGGACATAATTTATTGTCCATAGTCATATGAAAATAACTACATAACTTTGAGATATTTTTATATAGTCGTAATTTCCTCGTCTCTTTATGAGATGGGTAGGAAGATTTTCCGTATACCTGGAACAGGTGCTGAGTCATTCCTGATGCCCGTTCTATGATGTGTTGATTCTATAAACAAAGATTCGGTCATCAACCTCATCCTCTACCCTGGTATGTTAGTTTTGAGGATTTTCACCCTGTCCTATCTTATTGTGTGTGTGTAATCCTTACCTTAGTAGGATCTACCAATTTTGACCTAGGTAAGTTTTTGTGCTCCGATATCCCAGTTGACCCTGTTCGACTACTTTGACCTACTTATTTAACCTCGCAATCGTTGCAAGAGTTTGCTAAACCAAATTATTCTGTTTAATTGGATGAATAGTATGATTTAATCTGCAAAGCTTATTTCGAATTGAGTTTGTAGATTTAAATGCCACTCTAATCCCAGCCTTATTGAGAACTCTACGTGGTATTTCTGAGGTGCCTTCTTTGTATGGTAATACTGTGGAGGTTTTGAATACTCTATTCACAGTATTACCGCTACTATTATTAACATCATTATCAACACTATTATTATTATTGCTGTTATTACCATTATTATTACTACCATTAATAACTGTTACTGATATTTTTCTTACAATTCCTAAGAAGCTTATCAATTGATTTGGGAGGGTAATTGTTGATGTATACGGCGTCTTTAATGTTTCTGGTTTCTAGTTTAAGATCTGTTTTACTAGTAAGTTTTTTGGCCCTGTTACTTAGACACTTAACTAAGCGAACTTTAACTGACACAGGGTGAGACGATTTGGAGTCTAAGTAATGATTTGAATGTGATGGCTTTTTGTAGACACTGGTGTCTAAACTCCCATTTTGTTTCCTTTTTATTCGGCAATCCAACATCGCTAATTCTCCCTCACTATTTTCTAATTCACAGCCATAGCTCCAAAACCAACTCTTCACTTTATCCCAAAGAAGGATATCTTTATCAGTCTTCTCTACAAAGGTGATTCTCATAGCAGGCTGACTTAATATACATCAAAGGTTTGATTAATAGAAACTACCAACCCCATATATTCTCTCAAACCCCTACAGCATATGAACGACAATGTCACATCCCATTGCGTCGACCAATTCAAATGTACATGTGGTGACACATACATGAGGAGGATTCATAGATCCATGCAAGTAAGGGTCTTGGAGCATATTCCAAATTAGTTTCAGAAGTAAATTGAATCACCTGAACTCATAAACGTTGGTAGTAGACTTCCAAGTCCTTCCATCACGAAACGTATCATCGAGATAAGTCACTTGATTGACATGGCTACTTCCTTTACACCTATTTATAAAACGTGTTGGGAAGTGACCTTAACATTTGTTGAGGCCTTAGCTATTAGGCATTTTAGCCCACCGTTGTTTGTTCAAAAGCAATTTGTCATCATGTTATTAAATCTCCTGTGGTGAATTCCACTTCGAAAACCAAGTTCGATGTCGTATTATTTTCTTTCTACTAATATATATATATATATATATATATATATATATATATATATATATATATATATACACTTAATTATGAGGTAGATATTGATGATGTCAGCCAGTTTACTGATGAAATGTCTACGATCCAATAGCAGACGTCGGAAGACATCCAGTTGTTGACCTTAAAGTTTTTGCAGGCTTTAAAGTACCTAAAATTTGATTGGTAGACTGATGTTATACTTTCGAGTTGTGTCAGTTTAATCTCTTGATTCATTAACACAGGAATAAAGATAATACAAAATGTCAAACATAGGTGACCATTTCCACCTCCTTTTTTTCTGTACTTAAACATGATGCGAACACTGTTGAATGTACACACATCTTTCAAGGGAAAAGATTATTTTCTACACTGACTGATATCAGCTTGAAGTTTGCTCGTGATGAAAGCATTTAACATTTATTTTCTCATAGCTTGAACTCATTATCAGCATGTGTTCTTAATAAGTATACTGTGTTAAACCCAATAACTTTTAATCTGGCTGTAAATAATTAATGGTTGCTTCGTATATTAATTATTCTTACTGGGTATGAGGTTAACATTCATTTTTCAGCTGTATATAGGCTCTAACACTATCGGTTCATTAGTAAATCACTTTTGTTGCATTAATATGTCATTTATGGCAATTTTACTCCTCCTAGGTTAACTTCACACACGCATACATTTTCCTATTTACTTAATGCAGAGACAAAGTATTTGAAATAATCGTACTGCTAATCTCGTCAACCCTGATACCTTACAGTAGCTCAATGTTGAAATGATGCCATATTGCTGCTAGTTGAGCCTAAGATTTAAGTGTCATCTGAAACAGTAAAGTATCCGAAATGAATATTATGAGCGTCGGAAAATGATAGTTCTTGATCTCTCCCATCTAGTTCTTGCTATTTGGTTTCCTACTGTATTGGGCTAGAAAATATCTTCTGCATTCCTGTTTTTAGCTTCGGTGAACTGAAAGTTTTTGTGGGTCGGTATTTGTAATTTGTACATTGAAATAGTTTGGGAGCTATGGGATAATGGGAAGATTAAGGGTCTTTCTTGACTCCAATCTGTTATATGTAGGTGTTTGAATAGGAATAATAAGATAATGAGAAGGATATTGAACTGACTTGAAAGGAAAACGTAGATAAAATGGGTCCAGTTATTAGAGAAGATAGTAGATTA